GAGCTAAACTAAAAACTCAATGTACAAATCAAATACATTTTTTCCACAGGTGATTTCTATAGTTTTTGGTAGATATCACACTGATGTGTGTAGAAGTGGCCATTCTTTCTGGTAAGTTTGTTTTAATAACTTATTTAATTGATATAAAAAGGGGTATATTTCAAATGATTCGACAACTTTGATTGGTGATCTGATACGTCACTCAACAATTCAGTCGCTACTTGTTGCAAAATGCCAAGATGTCGGTCACCGTATTCACAAAATTTTGGCTCCACTTTGGCATAGGGGAGAGAAGTGGCTAAAAAACATGATCAGCAAATGTTTAAAGACCTCTGACATTATTTTTTAAAAGCATTTAATAGGCTAAACAACTAATCAATTGAAGTAGAGATCAATCATAATACAATATGTTTTACCTTTAGAAGTGTCTTTATCTTAAATACAGTTTGCTTGTAATCAGGCTACATTCATAGGACAAAAATAATTGTGTAGTTTTGATAAAGCTACTGTGATATTTCTATCTTTTGTCTCTTAATGATCAATTTTAAGTAAGAATTATGTGAAATGTCGTTTTACTACCAGGAAGGTTGTCTCATAAAATCGTGAAAAGAAAAAACCATTAAGGCTCATTACCATCCTCATCAGCAGATAGTGTTTACTAGGTGTCATGGAAATTGTAGATGGTCAGATTTCAAATTTTTTTCCAAGCACTTCTCATCCATCCATGTGAAGCGACGGTGCCATGAAGACAGTGCCTGGTTTCACTTTGATTTCCTCCTTTGTTTAATGTATTGTTGAAGAACCTCTCTGCTCCAGCTGGTCTTGGTTCACATGAGAAAACCTTCACATGTCCACAGTCGTCCCAATGTCGCGATTGACGCCGACTCCTTCATAACATTTAATAAATAGCCGTTACAATGTTTGAAATATTGCGTTGAAGCTGTGGAGATGTCCCAGGGATGCAGACTGAACTGGAAACCCTTTGCTCAGTGAAAGTTGAGTCGTCCTCAGACACAAACAGGTGCGGGTCGTATGTGAAAGTTGATCCAGAGTTCTGTTGATGCCAACTGATTGATTGTGTGTGTGTGTTTAGGTGGTGATGCGACCGGAGCAGACTGCCGAAAAGGGACAGCAGGTAGGTTTTCATGTTACAGACACAACACATAGTTTCATTGAGGTCTATAGCTCTTTTTCAACACACACATTCCTGGTCAGAAACACAACAAGCACAACTCATGGTTCCTGTTGTGCTGAGAGTATCTACCCTGAAGTAGGAGTTAAAGAAGTCCCTCAAAAAGGCATCCTGAGAACTACAGTACTTCTCAGTTCCTGTGGTGTGGATTCAGATAAACGGGGGTACTACCTCCTGCAGTTCTAAGAACTGTGAAAAAAGTTGCTCCAGTCCAGAACTATGTGTCGTCCCTGTGAGAGAGTAGTGAGTAGTGGATGTGCTGTATGTTCAGTCAGTCTCTTTTCCTGCTGTTTGCAGGTGGCTGAGGATCTGATGGAGCAGCTGGGTGTACCAAAGGAGAATCTGGTGACTGGAGCGTACGTGGATCTGTTACTGGACGCACTAACAGAGACGTGAAACAAACACCTGATTTCAGTGGTGAAGATGCTTAGCTCTGTACAGCAGTGACAGAACAGTCAGGAGAATAAACTGGTCAGAACACAGTAATCTATACAATGTTGACAGACTCCAGTAGTCAGAGCATTGGTGATCGAATCTGATCTGCTGTGTTGGCTAGATTACTTTGTTTCTAATGAAATGACATCAGCGTTCTCTAAATGTTTGAAGCCTGTCCTCCATCGTCTTGGACTGAGGTCAAGTTCTGCTGTCATGTCTGTGAGGTGGAATATGAATAAATAAACCCAGTGTTCAAACAGAGACTCGTTTGTGTTCAAATGGATTTGGTGTAAACAGCCAACACAAACCAATATGCAGGAGTGGCTGGAAAAAGTTCATGTAACACAATCTGCGACTGGCAGCTCACCTTGCATTAAACGCACCAGATTTTGTTGACTTGATTTAAAAAATGTCAACACAGGAAGTGATTTGTGGTGCAGCGTCCTTAAAGCTCCTCTACCTTATGTCTTTTCACTCTAGGTGGTCAGGTGAGTCTCAGAGCAAACTGACACCATCAGCTGCTCCTAACCACTCTCTGCCCCTCCCATTGTGTCCTGTTTCCTAGTGATGATCTAAACTATGGATGCCTGATTGGGACAAACTGTACGGTACAAACACAGCCTCCAGTCTCTCTTGTGGGGTGATTGAGAGGTGGAGCGAGGAGTTGAAAAGGCTGGTGCCCCCCATTTGGAGCTTGTCATGGGGATCTGTTGAAAATGACATTGCTGTACAGGCTGTGGAGCGCCGCTGTCTGAACACACCTTAAACTGATTTCTAATATCCCGCAAGTGGCTGGTTGCTATGGTAACTAGACAGCTGGTCATTAGACGGCATACAGCCTAAAATTAAAATGTAAATCCCAAAATGCAGATTTGCATCTTAATGAATTTTTTTTCAATCCAACAGAGCAGAAAAATCAGCAATGTGAAGAAAAGCTTTCTGTTGGTTTCAGTTCCATCAGGTAAATCCAAACCTAGCATTGACCTATGATGTTTACTGGGGATTTGTCTTTTTATTCATTTATTTTTAGTCAGCATATTTAATGCAGAAGTCAAACTTTAGAACCAACAACCAGAGCACAGGCTGCTTTGGTCCAACAGAGGGCGCTGTAGCTCTGCAGCAGGAACATAAAGGGGACTCAATCTTCATCAGACCTACACTAACAACATGATCAGCTGCTGCTCCATCACCTTCAGTTCCATGTGTATAGACAACCTCCAGAACGATCGCTCCAGACCTGTGACCTCAAAAATGCATGAGGACTGTAAATTAAATGGTTATTTTAAAACTGATTTATGCATCAAATCATGTTCGGCTGTCAAAGTGGTTAATGATTGATTGAGTAGTTAATTAGTTAAATTATTAAGAGTTATTGTCTCACTATTGGGAAACATCAGATTCATATACTTGGTAAATTTGCATTAATAACTTTAATAATTTGCCCCTGTGATGGTGAATCAGGTGTTAAATGGCATTGTATTGTACATGATGTTAAAATGTGCTAAACTTTCAGAAACCCCGTTTGAAAAGTTTTTGGTTTAAAGATGGACACGTCCAATTTAAAGGACAGATTGTCTTATGTTGTGTCTCTGTCCAGATCTTCTAAACTGTGCCGTGGTGTCTTTGCGTGTGTGTACTGTTTTTTGTATTTTGTCTCTTGTTAGTCATCATTAAATGAATGAAAGTCAACAGTTCTTCACAGTTGTAGTCAAGTTAACGTCACTCAGTTCAAGTCAAGCTCCAGTTTATTAACTGCAACTTGTTTTCAGGCTAAACAGCGACCATAAGAGCCTGTTTGTGAAACACCAGCACATCTGCCAGTTTTAAGATGCAAATATCGAAATTATGCATGTTGCACACCATGGAACAAAGTAATGACAAAAGAGGTTTCTACGGGAAACGTAAAGGTGATGCACATGCTAGTAATTAGCTGATGTGTTGCCAGTAGCTCCAGTATTAAAAGAACTTTTATTGTTTGAAATTTGATTTTCTGATTCAAGATGCAGCCAAACAGTGCAGTAATGCAAACGAGCCTCCTGTGTGTGTGTGTGTGTGTGTGTGTCCTGTCAATATAGAGCTGATGTGACTTGTGAAGAAACTCATGTTGTTTCCTCTGTCTCAAGTGGTCCCCCTGTCTCTGTGATCTTGTTTCAGCGCTCAGATATTCTTAGTCACGTGTGTGTGACTACTACATCTGCCCACACAACCAACACAGTTGGCATTAAATGATTATCATTATGTGATCCAGATTTCAGTAAGCGATATCCATCTATTATTTAGACCGCTTATTCCGTACGAGGGTCACAGCTGACACTGGGCGAGAGGCAGGGTCCACCCTGGACAGTAAACATTTAGAACCACAACTACCCTCACTCCTACAGGCAATTTAGAGTCACCAGTCAACCTGCATGTTTTTGGACTGTGGGAGGAAGCCGGAGTACCTGGAGAAGGCCAGGGCTCGAACCTGGAACCTTCATGCTCTGAGGTGACAGCGCTAACCACCTCACCACTGTGCCGCTGGAAAGGGACATTTACTGTATATTTAGTTTATTCTTTTATCTCTCTTTACAAAACATATATAAGAACATATTGCTTAAAAATGTAGCTAGATTGATTTTTGCCTGCTTTGTTTACGTGGACGTTTGCCTGATGGTGACCTTGTGGGTCAAAATGTAAAACTTCCACGTGGGGACACACAGACTCCAATTTTCCTTATGACATAAATCAGCAGCATGAATGGTACATTTGACTGCAACAGTCAGTGTAAACAGCCCGCAGCTGCTGAGTGACAGGCGACAGGCTTCACGTGTGGAAAACACCACGTTATGAGTCATGTGACTGCTGCTGCCACCACGTGTGCTCTGATTGGTTGGTCCCACATAGGAAATTGTCAGTAAACCAAAAATTGTGGACATAATCAAAATCAGTTTTTATTTGTTTGCCCCCATCATCTTCATCATCATCACTGGCTACTGATGCTGATGCTTGGAAGCTGAGCATCCCCCTCTTGTTATTTTTTTTTTTTGCTATTGCATCGTTGCTATGGCAACGGGGCCGCTCCTGTACACCCACGCTACTTACCCCCTCTCTCTCTCTTTTCTTTCTCTCTCTCTCTCTCGCTCACAGCAATTGAACGAGAGGAGAGAGAGAGAGAGAGAGGTGTGTTTTCTAACCCACGCATTGAAGTGGGAGACAACGTGCGCACTCACACGTGCATGCACGCACACACACTCCTGTACACAGTGTATGTCATGCTAGCAGTGTGTGGGCTGAAACAGACCAGCCTTCCACTCATCCTCTCTCCCTCTCTCTCTCCTCATCTCTCTCCCTTCTTCCCTCTCTCTTTTCGTCTCCAGGAACACCTCTTCTTCTTCCTCTTCTTTTTTCCTCCATCTCCCATCATCTCTCCCTGTTTTTCTCTCCATCAGTCCCTTCTTTTTTCAGTTTATCATCATGGAGAATGGGTCCGTGATCTTCTGGGTGAGTCTCTTTCTGCACCTCTTCATACATGTGTGTGTGAGAGTGTGTGTGTGTGTGTTTTAGAGGGAATGCATGTGTGTTAATGTTGTGGCATGTTGGCAATGCTGCTTCAGTGATGTGTTTGTGTGTCAGTCACTTGCTGCAAGTGTGTAACTTTAAAAGTCTTGACTTATCTTCCTTTATGATTTATCTCCTTTTCTCTTTTCCTTTCCTTCTCTCTTCATCTCCTTCCCTCCGCTACTCATTTTGCATCCTTTCCTCATCTCTTCTTTTCCTTGATTTGCCTCCTTTTCTTGTGTCACCTCTCATTTTATTTCCTTTCATTTCCTTCTTTTCTTATTTCCTTTGCTTTCTTTTTCTTTTCCTCCCCTTTACCTTTCCCCTTTTGGATCTGTCTCTCTTCCTTTCCTTTTCCTTCCTCTCCTCATTCTGACCATTGCTTCTTTTTTTCCTTTCAGCACTTCCTTTCCTTATCCCTTATCTGCCTCCTGTCTTCATTTCCTTCACTCCTTTCCTTGTCTTTCCTCTCTACTTCTTCTGTTTTCTTCAACCCTTCTTTTATTTTCTAATTTGCTTCCTTTCCTTTCTTTTTGTCCTCCTTTCCTCCTGCCCTCATTTTCTTTTCTTTCCTAGTCTCCTAACTTCCTTTCTTCTCTGAGTTCTTTCATTTATTACCCTTCCTCTTCCTTCTCTTTTCCTTCTCATATGTGCACTACTCTTCCTTTTCTACTTTCCTCTCTGCCTTTCCTGTTTTTTCTCTCCCTCCGTCACTTTATTTCCTTTGCTTCTCTTTTTCTCCCTCCTTGTCATCTTCATCTCTTTTTATTTCCTGTTTGTTTCCTCCAGCATCACTTTACAGTCCTCGGTGTGTTTGTTATGTAAGAGCAGCAGAGTGTGTGTAGGCCGTGGTCTCAGACTGTCAATCTAAAGAGATGATCTGCTTCAATCAGGAAGTGAATTGTCGTCTTCTTCTGCAGTATCGATACTCTTGAACATTGTGGTTGTCATGGCAACACGCTAAGCTTCACCTTGGTGTGGGCAGAGTTTAAACTGCTAACTGTGTTAGCAACAGCTAGACAGCTGGATCTGCTTTCCACTGAGAGCTTTTCTAAAAATGCAGTTGAAGGACTGCTTGCAGCTTTTCAAGGCCATCTTAAAACAACAGTCAAATAAACAATGAAATCAGTTTTGGTTGCTAGAATCATTCTTCCATTTCCTTCCTGATGCCTTCCCAATGCACTTCCAGTAGAAGTGAACGAGGATAAAATTTGCAGTACTTGTTTTGGGCAAATATAAATTCAGAAATTTACCTAAGCATTTGAAAAAATGCCAGTGTGACACTTCAGCTGTCTCAGTTAAACACAGTCATTGCATATCTCCCACCTTTTTTTGTCTCTATGGACAGTGTGTCCTTATAGATCTGCAGTGGAAGGACAGTAACAAAAAAAAAAGGTGGGGGGGGGGTTACTCCACTTTAGAGAAAACAAAAAGTATTTGACATTTTAATACCAGCTCACTGTTAAGAACAACTACTCTGAGGAATATCTCACATTGAATTCAGTGGAATGAGTGAATTAGACGTGGTGTAATACAGTTTCGCTGCTACCTTGATCATCTTTCTCTAAAGACCTGATGACACCCGCATGTTGTGGCAGAATCAGTTTATTTGACTGGGATCCCTACAGTTAGCTGATTTGTTTGCTGGGGTGAGGCAAATCCTTCACACTCAGTTCAGTTTTCGTGAACTTTGACATGTAAATTTGTGCTGTTTCTGTGGCTAATCATCTTGGTAGTGCTGACCATTGTCCAAAATGGAGGAATCCATTGTAAGCTATTAGCTGTGTTTTTCATTTTAGTTTTATTTCACCCTCTATGTGTGTAAAGAGTCTGACAGTGGAGAACTGACACTTCTGGATTCAGCTTGATCTTGTGGTTTTGAACCACATCACAGATTTCGGCCCACAGTAACTGCTTCAGTCCGATTGTCTTCCCCATTTGCTACAATTACTGTGAATACAATACCGATTGTGTGCATCAGACCTCGTCTCCTGTCCAGATCATCATGTCTTGATTGTGTGTGTTAGCAGAGACAAAACGACTATATTTTAAACCGGTGGTGGTTAGTGCTGTTGCCTCACAGCGAGCAGGTTCCGGATTCAAGCCCCGGCCGACCCGGGGCCTTTCTGTGTGGAGTCTGCATGTTCTCCCTGTGCCTGCGTGGGTTCTCTCTGGGTACTCCAGCTTCCTCCCACAGTCCAAAGACATGCAGCTTAGGGTGACTGGTGACTCTAAATCGCCCGTAGGAGTGAGTGTGGGTGTGTGTGGTTGTTTGTCTGTCAGCCCTGTGATAGACCTGTCCAGGGTGGACCCTGCCTCTCACCCAGTGTCAGCTGGGATTGGCTCCAGCCTCCTGTGACCCTTTTCAGAATAAGCGGTATAGATAATGGATGGATGGATGGAGGCACTAAACCAGCGGTTTGGTCTAGAACGAGTTACCGTGTCACCTGTCAGTCATACTGTAAATCAGTAGAAGTAGCTCAAACACCAACATCTGACCAAAAATTTGTTCAAACTTAAACCTAATTTTATTGCATGAATTAAATTTGATGAGGATTTGGTCCCAGATATGGATTTGATGACACTCCTAGGGGGCCCGTCCGGGGGGGCCCCTGCCTCTCACCCAGTGTCAGCTGGGATTGGCTCCAGCCTCCTGTGACCCTTTTCAGAATAAGCGGTATAGATAATGGATGGATGGATGGAGGCACTAAACCAGCGGTTTGGTCTAGAACGAGTTACCGTGTCACCTGTCAGTCATACTGTAAATCAGTAGAAGTAGCTCAAACACCAACATCTGACCAAAAATTTGTTCAAACTTAAACCTAATTTTATTGCATGAATTAAATTTGATGAGGATTTGGTCCCAGATATGGATTTGATGACACTCCTAGGGAGCGCTTACAGGGCTATAGGGATTTTGCACTTGTTCTAATGCAAAGAGAAGAAGACTGAGCAGATTTCACCTCAGCTCTTGGTTCACAGTGATGTGAGAAACTTGACAAGATAAAGTGTGTGTGTCAGAGAGAGAGAATACAGTGAGTATTATCAGCTCCTGCCATTTGTTTCCATGGTAATGGCAAAAAGAGCTACCTTTCCAGGACACACACACAAATCCTGTTCACACCTAGCAAGAGAACGCACAACTGGACAACTGAAATGTACTGAGCAGAGTAGCTTTAGATTCACATGAGAAGAAGAACAGTGTGAATGGAGATACATGAATGTTTTCTCAGCTTCACCGTATGACAGAAAGTGCTGGAAATAACATGGTGATTAAATTCTCCTTGAGATTTATAGTGGTTTGCAGGTCTTGTACATTGGGACACTTTGTACCAAAGGATTTTGAATGCTTGAGTGAATATGGTGAGGCTGCAACTGGTGATTATTTCATTACATTATTAAGTAATCCAGTAATTGGGGTGGGGGGTAGAAACATGTCATGATTTCCAGGAGTCCATTGTCTTCAGGCGTCTTGTTTGAGCAGTAATTCAAAATCCAAAGATGCTGATTGTCATCAGACTGAGAAAGTCTGCATCATCACATTTGAGAAACTGGAGCCAGATATGTTTGATATTTTACTTGAAAAATTACTTCAATCGATTTTATCAACTCATCAGTCAGCGCTAGAAAAGTGCAACATACTGACACTGAAACAATGATGTGATAATTATTGCAATATTGTGTCAATATCGCCCACTCCTAGCTCTAAATGCAGAACAGTATGTGGGTACTTTGCACCTTGACCCTCTGATAAAGGGGGAAAAGTTAAAATCCAGTTGAAACACACTTTAGTTTATGATACACATGTGAGCTGCGGTTGGAACCGGACTGGTCTAATACTAGATGCAAGGACTGAACCTTCAAACACACACTTAAATGTAGAGAGAGAGGGTGTATGTGCATGTGTGTGTTATCAGTGCCGTCCAGCTTCTCAGCTTTTTCCTGCCAAACATCCAATTCCTTGGCAGCCCAGACAGGAAACAGGAAGTGTGAGTGACAGGAAACAAATTTTTTTTTAATTTCTTTTTTGTTTCCAGCTTTTCCCATTGCTGTCTATGTTGCCATGGAAACATAACTGGCTCCACACACACACACACCAGCTGGCTGGCATAGTGTTGGCTAATAGCCGGCTGCCAGCTGGCTACCAGTATGCTACAGGCTGATTAGCAGTAAGCTAACAGTAGCTGGTACTCAGCCCAAGGTTAGCAGTTCATTGCATCTGTGTCTGAAGTCACTCATCATGCACTACAACAATAATACTATACATGCAGTAGTTTAGTTTATATGGAGCAGTGTATTTAGGTTTTCGGGGGGTTCCTCTTTAATATTAATAATAGTAAGGTCTAGACCTCAGCTTGTAAAGTGTCCTGAGACGACCTTTGTTGTGATTTGGTGCTATACAAATAAAATTGAATTAAATTGAATTGTTAGCAGCAGTAGTGCTCATGTTCATTGGGAGATTACATAAATACACACTCATAACTAATAAAGGTGGAAGGCAAATGTATTAGACTAGTAAAACAAAGGGTCTTGAAGTCTTAAAAAAGAATCAGAAAAGGCCTTTAAAGGTATTAAAACACCTTAAATGTAATGTACAGAAAAATGTTGTCTCTTGGCTGCTGCTACCTGTGTGACAACTAATGTGCATGTGCCTATTGATGTTAAGAATAAACAGGTGATAGATGGAAGTAATAGTACAGCAGGCTAAATATTATGATCTATTATACTGAGGGTATTTAAGATGATTCCATGTGTTAAAACGAGCATCGACATCCATCATCAGTTCACCATCTTTTATCTTAATCTGAGAATAGACACAGATCCATATTTGAAACTTTACATAATACTACCTCTTTCAGTTGCCATGCTAACTGATACAACTGCTTCATATTGTGTAACTGAGTGAACCTGAAGTGGCCTCCACAACTTGCCTCTGTGTCTGACCCACTTCTGATTTGAACCGCACGCTCCATCATCTCTGCAGACCCTGCACTCCTCTGATATGTTTTTTTGTCTTCTCCTCCCCCTCCTCCCCTCTTTCATATCCCCTTTTTTACCTCCCACCCACCTCCTCCCTGTCTTCCTCTTGCTTTTCCTCCCGTTCTACAGGATGGGCAGGGCAGCTCACAGAATACAATCTGAAACTCTGAGACCTCTCACTTTACTGCAAAAATACTACACAGTATTGCCACCGACACTACTTTACTGTCTACTGTAAAAGTACTTCTTCAACTACTCCGGGTTCTGCTCATTCTTCAAGAGGAACTGCAACATCTACAGAAACGTCATCTACTGTGGTAGTACCCAACTGCTACTACCACGACCACTAAGTAAACCACAGGATTACAATAGCCCACAAGCAACTCCTCTGCAACCAGAGACGCGCACCTGGCACCTCAGGCTGGACCAGAAACCAAAACCAAGCCAAAGCCAGAACCAGACCAGTAAGCCAGCCAGGCTCTGTAGACGGGACCAAACCAGGCCAAGACAGACCAGAAGAGACCAGTAGAAATCAGGCCACTGGAAAAGTTTGATGGGACTGCTGACATTAGGTAAGTGTGTCTTATCTGTGTTACTGAAAGTAAACTGGGACACACACAGAACCAGTCACTTTAGAACAGATGGGTCTAGGCGTAGAATAGCTTGTATTCAGACCAGTTCAGGACCAGGCTGTGTCAAAAATCCTTTGTGTTCACTCATTCACCACTCCCTAAACACAGTAATCAGTACTCCTTAGCAGTGCTGGAAAGTAACTGAGTACATTTACATAAGTACAGAATTTAAATACAACTTTGAAATACTGGTACTTGAATCTTTTATTTTCTACAGCTTTATATTTTTATGCTTTATTTCAGAGTCAAATATTGTAATTTTTGCTCCACTTGATTTATTTGACAACAATAGTTACAAAGTACTAATTCAGTACCATTTTCAGAGAGCCAAGTTTTGAATCTGTATGTTCCAGCCTGTTAGCTCCAGAGGAAGTATACAGGATTTGTAGTAACTGGGTGGAAACATTAAGAAATAGCAGTATGGTCCAAATCGTACTGTTCTTCCACCTTTACATTCACAGCTTCATTTGGTACAAGGTTCTGTCAGTTCCCCCACTTTGTTCAGGCCTTTGCTGTGTTTCAGGGATTTTATTTTTTACATCTCATTTTACAAATGACTCACAAAAACCTTGAGTCATTTCAGCTGGTTTGAAAAGGTGAATTAGTTTTTCTGCTTCCACTGGAATGTCCTTAAATAGCTTTTACATCAGCAGCTGAAGTACACTGTTAGTAGCTACACTTGTTGGCATGAAATTAGGTACGGACAGCTGTCATTTGTGTTGCCATCCAAGATACATTTATGGTTAGAAACTTTGTAAAACATATGTGTCTGATTATTATGAATGCTCCAATATGTCTAACCAGTCTGAAACAAACATGGTCACTTGAAGATAATTAAACCTAAAGTTAAAGGTGCATTAACTCAGAGTGAAGAGGTGGCGTCTTTCGCACAGAGAGAGTGGGACAAAGAAAGAGCAACAACCAGGGTTTACATGGGTTTTGGCTGTTTAACCCTTTTATTTAAGGTAACAACATAACCCTGTCTCTATGGATTTAGGCAGAGCATTAAGATTTCTTATATGCACAGCAGGTTTACAAGTGCGATGCCACCACAGTATGGGCAGTATGTTTACTTCTGTCTGCAGTGCCTGCTGGGATTCCCATCCCCCTGAAACTTGGACTCCACACTCTTCATTTCCACCATAAAACCCCCTCCTGTTTCTCACTTTCTCTACCTCCTGTTTTTGAGGACATTTCTCTTTGTTTGTAAAACACAGTTAGCATTTTCAGATGTGAAGCTGAGTTTTCCCTCTGATCACTTTGTGTAAATAACAGGCAGACAGATGTGCTTCTCACTAACATCTAGTGTTTCTGAATTATGCACGAGGACTGTGGAGGGACATCTCTGCTTTTCATCCAGTTTGCTGCTGGCAAGAAAAGTTATAGTTAAAAAATATATCAAAATATAAATTGTTGATATCTAATTTTAGCTGGTTGATGGAATTTGTAACGTCAAGACTTGAAGGTGACAGAAACCAGGTTTATCTGGGGTTTTCAACAACACTTCCCTCCCTCCTTCAGCAGATACAGTTTAACCTTATTACGATGGAAACAAACCAGCTTGCGATGTGAGTGATGGCTTAGAAAAACCTAGTACACTGACCTGGATATTTGAGGTTGGTATATTTGTGGTGGCAGTTGAAAGATGACAGGAAACGAGAACTTGAGCTGGGGATGCTTCCCATCCTCGTGTTTGTGGCCTTATTCCCTCCCTTCCTCTCGTTCTTCCCTTCTTTCTCGCTTCCTTTCAGCTCATTCACTACACATCCTGCAGTTCAGACTTTCTGACAGCCCTTTTACACTTCCCTAAGCGGAACATTCCTGCGATTACCAGTCATGCCACACTTTCACTGGAAGTTGCACTTTCTCTCCTTAGCGCCATGCTTGCTGTTAGAAATGTGAATGGGTCCTTCAGGTAGCACTCAGTGGGATCAGAAATAGCTTTTGGGTTGCTCACACTGGTTGTTTTCCTCTATGCAGATGGCTCTGTTATGTCTCCTTTGGTCAGTCTTCAGGTTTCCTTTCCTGATTCAGGATGTTCAGCTCTGGTTTGACTTTGGCGTGAGACCATTATCTTGTGGAAAGGTGATATTCTTGTTCAATTAGAGCAGCGGGAGGCTTCATCCTGAAATATCTCAGGGTCACTGTTTTGACCATTTCCCGTTTTTGTCCTTAGCAGAGCTGCTGTCCTCCTACACAGCCTGTTCAGCGCTGTGGCTACACTTATCTGCAAATAAGACTCAAGCCGAATGTGCTTTGGTTTCACCAAACCAGAAGCCATCCACCTACAGTGAGGAACAGAAGTATTTGAACACCCTGCGATTTTGCAAGTTCTCCCACTTAGAAATCATGGAGGGGTCTGAAATTCACATTGTAGGTGCAATCCCACTCTGAGAGACAGAATTTTTTTAAAAATTTCAGGAAATCACATTGTATGATTTTTAAAGAATTTATTTGTCTTGCGCTGCTGAACATAAGTATTTGAACACCTGAGAAAATCAGTGTTAATATTTGGTACAGAAACCTTTGTTTGCAATTACAGAGGTCAAACGTTTTCAGGTAGTTCTTGACCAGGTTTGCACACACTGCAGCAGGGATTTTGGCCCCGTCCTCCACACAGATCTCCTCTAGATCTGTCAGGTTTCGGGGCTGTCACTGAGCAACACGGAGTTTAAGCTCCCTCCAAAGATGTTCTATTGGATTGAGGTCTGGAGACTGGCTAGGCCACTCCAGAAC